CACTTTATGAATACAAGTCATGAACAAATCTTAAATATGGCACGGAATGTGTTTACTTTTTTAGTTTTGATTTTGAGCAGCAAATTTGGAGTTACATATTGGTGCTCACCAGGAATGCATAGGCAAAATTGCACAAATTTTCACTTGAAAGAATAGTGGCGATCTTGGGATTTTTTTCTGTTCAATTTTCAAACTGTGTAAATTTAATACACTTCATCTTCAGCATGTTTAGTGCCACTTTTGTAAGTAACCACGCCCCCGCCCAGGCCACGCCCCGTCCAGGCCACGCCCCTTCCGCTTTTTTCATCACTCGCCATTGCCATGTATGTTTATGTGATCTGCAGCAGTCTAAAGTAGGGGTTATCTCCTACTTTAGACTGCTGCAGTTCACGCATTTCATAACTTCAAAGATTATATAATTTATGGTAACTTTATAAACATTCAATAATGCATAAATGTGCCATCAGCTTGTACTCTTGAAGAGTTGATAACATCAGTGTTGCATAAGTGGTGTAGAAAATTGATGTACAGTATTGTTAAAAAAAGAAAGAAAAAAATTGTAAATGTAATGTGTAATGCGTTTACATTTGCATGTCCACACCACAACAATGGATTCAAAACAAAAGAATCAATTTGTGATTGGAGGGCGTACAGAACTTTGACGAGTCACAAACATACAGCATTTGCCAATTAAGAACAACAGTTATTTTATACAGACTTGCTGAATCTTCAGAGGCTTGAACATATTTAAATTGGGATAACTGCAAATATGACCCCATTTGTTAATACTTAAAAAAAACAAAAAACAAAAAAAAAACACTTTTGGTCATTGATTGCCTGAAACCTGGTGCCCACGAGCATCAACAAGTTCTAAGCGTCTTTAAAAGTTACTACGCCAGCCAGCTTGTCTCTTCATTAAAGACTTTTATACATTGCTAAATTCACATCATACTTGGCCACTCAAGAATATTCCCCTTCTTTGCCTTCAAAAAATTTGGACTTGCTTTTGCAGGAGGGTCATGATCCATCTTAACTTTGAAGCACCATTTGTCCCACTTCGGAATATCCATCCATCCATCCATCCATTTTTTGATCCGCTTTATCCTCACAAGGGTCGCGGCGGGTGCTGGAGCCTATCCCAGCTGTCTTCGGGCAGTAGGCGGGGGACACCCTGAATCGGTTGCCAGCCAATCGCCGGGCACACAGAGACGAACAACCATCCGCACTCACACTCGCACCAAGGGACAATTTTGAGTGTTCAATCAGCCTGCCATGCATGTTTTTTGGAATGTGGGAGGAAACCGGGAGTACCTGGAGAAAACCCGCGCAGGCCCAGGGAGAACATGCAAACTCCACACAGGAAGGTCAGAGCCAGGATCAAACCCAGTACCTCTGCACTGTGAGGTCGACGCACTAACCACTGGACCACCAGGCCCACTTCGGAATAATCAATAATAAAAATAATGAGATTGTGCTGTATGTGGGTTTATACTTTGGACACACACGCACGCACGTGGCCGCACAAGCATGAATTAGTTTACACAAAACGCTATTCAAATACTCGACATTCAATGATTAATCTTCCTTTTGTGTGCACACGTGTACCCTTTGTGTCTTCCGTTCTCGCCGAAATTTTGAAATCTCCGAGATATGGCGAGGCCATGAGAATGCGAGGCGAGGGTATTACTGTTGTGGTGACTCCACTCAAGCTAAGCGAGCCTCAGCAGTAGATAGTCCGCTGCTCTCTGCTGTGCGTGTTTCAGCGCGAACATGTACGCAAGCGCGTCTTTTGATTTCAACCAATCAGCGCCAACGCAAATGACGTCATACACGACAACAGCTAAGCTAAGTTAGCCGAGACGACACTCGAAGTCGGACGGACACGATTTTCTGCCAATCTGTGTTTTTCCCTTTTTGGCCAAATATATTTTTTACGACAACTGTCTTGTCCACGGCGTCTTTTATTCGTTCCACTGGGGTTTAGCAAGTGTGTTTATAAAGAGACGAAAATTGTTTGGGGACTATCCCCCCACATTCTAGTTGAGATGGTATAACCCAAGTGGCAAAATGACGCTTGTTACTGTTGTTGCGAGTTGCCATTCGTTCTACTAAACCATTAGTCAAACGCCATCATGTCTTCGGTCGTTATTACACAAACAAAAATCTCTTTACTGTTACTAGTGTTAGTGCCTCCATATGGCTACGCTCGTGAAATCAATATAATGAACTCAAATGCGTCTTCGTCCAATGTTGTCAACTGATATCCGGATTAATTTTATTTTCCTCAATTCTCCGGAGAAATTTTCATAAAAATTTGAAAAACCCGGAATTCCGGGAAAATCCGGAGGACTTTCATCTCTGGATTTCCAAGACATGTAGTGTGAAACATTGAACAAATCCTCTCCCAATTTGAATTTGCAAGACACGTCCCAACACTCATGATGCATCACTAGTCATCCTGACTAACGCCCCATCGCAGCATTCGGAGTAGCTTCTTCTATCCGTGAGCAACAGCGTAGAAGAATGAGTGAATTACCTCCAAAGTGCGTCCAGTCAGCTGACTTACTTGGCAGAGGTAATCTGGAGGAGAGGAAGGGAAAAAAACATTTCTGCAGATGTTTGTCTCCTCTGGAATTTAAATGAAGTCAGTCATGATCATGACGACCAAACATAACAAGCTGGGAATGCGAGTTTGTGTTACCAGTTGCGAAATAAGACCCGCAAATACAAATAAATACTGATGCTAAACTACTGTGACACCTCTTTGTTTCGGTTGCTCGGTAACACAACTGATGATATTGTTTGAGAAGCCCGGTCATAGTTAGAATGTGAACTGAACTCTAACAAAGAGTGGCGACACTTGTGTTGTTTTTAAACATTTGATCATTTCTTTTGAGATTATGATGTGTGAACCTGTGCATGATAAATTCACCTTGGCTGGCTACATTTCCTCTTGAGGGATTATACTTCATCAAGTCCAATCAATAGGCACACTTGAAAAGATACAGTGAAATGACTACAGTATCACGCTGGGCCCCTCAGTTCTCGAAGAATGTTAATTCCGTGGATTTCCGAGACACTCAATTGTATACTTGCAGATGAGTTTGGTGTGGAAGAATTTGAGAGCCCTTGACCTCAACCCCATCAAACACGTTTGGGATGGATTAGTTGTTGACCCCAACCTCACAAATGCTCTTCTGTGGATGAGTGGAGCTCACTTTCACAGAAGAGTGACTCCATATTCCTTTTCTGTAAGTGACTCGGTGTTACTAATCACAAAAACAAACAAAATTGTACATATGACATCTCACCGCTTAAGGACTTTATCGTGAGCGTCACTCCCCTGCTGAACAAGGCGATCCAGCACCTCTAGTGGTGAAGCAGTCAGAAGCCCATCCTCTTCCCCGTCCTCCAGCCCCTCTTCCCGTCTTGAGAGCCTCTCCAGTGCCGCTTTGTGGACGGCCTCAGATGTCTTCTGGCCTATGTAGAGAGAGGCCGCCCTGGGCAAAGCCAGGTCAAATAACACTTCGTATGGCACCGATGCAGGTGTCTTGGCACAGGGACTAGGCGAGAACATCCCAAACTTTGACACCTCCTCTTCTGGGGCCGAGGGGCTCCGGTGCAGGTGGTGATCAATCGGGGTAAAACCTGACAGGAAGGGCCAGGACTGATCGAGGCCGATGGCTAAACTGCGACTGTCTCCCGCTCCCCCTCCTTGTTCGCTCCCAACATCGCTGACGCTTGTGGTGTTCTCCGCTTTGTCTGGCGTAGACGCTGCATGGCGTGTGTCTGGGACGGACCCGCCCAGTTGGCTGTTGGTGACGATCTTGTCTTGTGTCTGACAGCCAGTCAGGGTCTCAGTGGTTCGGTAGAAAGGAGAGTCGAAACCCCTCAGGCCTGAACGATCCTGTTTATCCTCTGTAATCTTGAGCAGCTCCTCTGTGATAGCCGCTACAAATAATTTAAAAAAAAAAAAGCAGAAAGAGAGAGAAAAAAGAGAGAAAGAAGAGAGAAGGATTTTGGGTAGGTGCCAAGAAATGGTGCAACACACAGAAACTGAGCGTTCCGGTTTTGTGATGTTCTTATTATCTGTCCAAGATGTCTACCCATGTGACTCAAGAAAAACAAATGAAGTTCTGAAAAAGCATAAAAAAGGTCTGCTCTCACCCTCCTCTTTTTCTTTTTCCGTTCTCAGATGAAGCTCCAACTCCTGTATCTTCATGAAAACCGAGAGCTCGGTCAGGGTCATGGACACATTTGCAGCATCGGCAGCATCTGATTTAAAAAAAATAAAATAAAAACCTTGAGTCACTGTTGCGATAACAAGGTTTCAGGGAAAAAAAAACTAAGATCTTATAGTTATGTTGTGAAAGGTGGTCAAATCTTAGAACGTGACAAAATCAAACCTATTTGGCAGCACTAAAATAGGAGCTGACTGCCACTTGTCTACGAGCCAGACAAGATTCAATATTTCAGTCGAAGGCCGATGAAGACCCTGACTCGACACTTAAGTGTCATCTTAATAATTGCTTAGTCATCCGCCCATCCATTTTCGATACCACTTGTCCTCATTAGGTTATGGCTGAGCTGAAGCCTATCCCAGCTGACTTTGGGTGCGAGAACTGCAGCTAACCAGTCAGTCGCAGGGCACAGATGGACCATATTCACACCCATGACCAATTTAGAGTGTTGAACATGTTTTTGGGCAAAACTGGCGCAAAATCACAGCAAAGCACACTGTTGACCACACTTGATGGGCAGTCTTCGAGATCAGGAACTTATGCTGAGAATTCCGATTCTGAGCTGCTTCTTAACTTTGTGTAGATGTGATGCATCGTAACAAACCTCTGTTTGTGGCGCCGCTTTTCTCAGAGTCTTTCACAGGTTCCTGTCTCACCAGCGCAGGTTTACCACTGTCGACATGTCTGCGATTCTGAAAAGTGCCACAGTTTGTTTTTGACTACACGACTGTAACATTTATTTATATTTGCTATTTATATCGCCCTTTATCACAAAATGCTCTCAAAGGGCTTCACAAGCCCTTGTTGACAAAAGTGTACACAACCAACCAGTATTTTACACCCATCGCCACTTTTTCCTCTAATTTTTATTGAGTGCTAAAGTATCAAGAATAGACATAAATGGGAAAAAAAACACCAGACTTCTCTTTTCAGTTCAAAATAATTGCTAAAATATGTTGCAAAGAAAGAAAAAAAAAAGCATTCATTCACAAAATAACACAAATAGTTTGTGAACAATCAACTGTGATTTTTCTTTTCAGTCAGTCTGTATGTGCATGTGTGTTTTAGCTTACTTTTCTCGGTGGACTGGATTGGACTGTGTTGCCTGGCAAGGAGATGATCGGAAAGTCATCTGCGAGAGTGGGTGGTGGTGATGAAGTGGCTGGAGTACTGGAGGCGGACGTTCCTTTCCCGCCTGCTCACATGAAACACGCAAACGGCGCCATTAATTAAAAAGATCATTCTAAAGAGTTCTTACTCCAAATCAAACTTAAACCAGCTATTGGTGGGTTCGTCACTTCAAAAGTAATTCATAAATAGAACTTATTAAGTACGTTTGTTTCAATGTCTTGGGATTGGATTCACCTGAAGTGCAGTGGAAGCGGCTGGGAAGGTGCGAGGCACTGTGGGAGAGCTCAAAGTTGGGCGACATGCCCCTGGATGAAGGGGGCGTAGCCATTCCACACAAAGAGGAGGGGCTCCACAGTGGGTCCTTCCCACCATAGGAGGAGTTAGGGTCACAGGTGGAGCTCTGTAAAATAAATAAATAAATAAATAAAAAGCTCTTTTCATCGATGGTGGGTGGGAACTGTCTGTAACATATTCCCTGCGATAAACTGGCCTGCCTTTACAAAGATAATATTGCCCGGTACATATCTCTCGACCTCTCCACCCTTGAGGATTATGAGCCTTTATTTCCTGATGTTGTTACCTGCCGTTTGGTGGTCTGTGGGCTACGGTTGGTTGACTGTGTCCCTGAGAAGGGGGGCAAAGACAGGGGCGGAGGCAGAGGCTGCCGTGGAGTGGAGAACGGAGTTGATGAAGAGCTTCCTGTGGTCAAGTAGACAAAGAATTTTCAAGCATTTCATCGATGGTTCCCATGATATTTTCGGCTGACTGTTAACTAACCAAATTTTAAAAGGCGTCACTGAAAAGATTCTAAATTGTAATACGGTACTCAGGGAGAAAAAAAAATACAGGTACAATGGTGCTAAAGAGTGCATAATTCCAAACAGATTTAATTTACATGAATACAAGAGAGTACGTTAAATTTACCTAATCGATTTGATAATTGACAGCTCCTTTGATTAAAGCATTTTTCATGGTAAGAATTGTGGAATTAAAATTTGGTTTGAACATAATATTCATGTAATAATGACAATCCTTGTCAAAGCTACCACCGTCAAAAGAAAACATTTAGATGTCAACACAAATATTTTGTTACTTACTGTAATTACTCCGTGTTTGTAATGAATCACTTTTCAAAGAGAATATACTGAACACTTTTTCTTAGGAAGACCTTTCTGTTACTGACTGAAACGTCCTCTTTTAACACTTCAAAAATCATATTTTTGGTTCGACGAATAATACCTAATATAAAGGGCTTTTACACAGACTTGGCCCCCTGACTCCTGATCTTAAGTCAACAGTCTCAAAGTTGGGTCTGAAACTGGACAGTGATTTTAAACTGGACCGGCAAATTGGTGTCGTTGTTAAATCCAGCTTCTTTCATCTTAGGCAGCTGGCTAAAGTAAAACCTCTCCTTTCTCATGAGCACTTTGAAACAGTAATTCATGCCTTCGTCACATCTCGACTGGATTACTGTAATGCATTTTACTTTGGAGTCAGCCAGTCTTCCATGAAGCATCTCCAGTTGGCCTAGAATGCTGCTGCTCGCCTCTTGACTGGTACTCGTAAGAGGGAGCACATAACTCCTACTCTGGCATCCCTTTCACTGGCTCCCGCTACATTTGAGAGTTCTTTTCAAGATCCTATTATTTGTTTTCAAATCTTTAAATGGCCTCGCGCCACCTTACCTCTCTGAACTCATCCGCCCTTACACACCTGCCCGGCGCCTCAGGTCTGCGGACCAGACATTATTAGAAGTACCAAGAACTTAGCGGAGGCACAGAGGGGACTGAGCCTTTTCCGTTGCTGGTCCCTCTCTTTGGAATGACGTCCCACTGAACATTCGGCAAGCCCCCTCGCTGCCCATCTTTAAAACTCATCTCAAAACTCATTTGTACCCTTTGACATTTGACTCGGCATATCTCAGACTTGATCTTAGATTTACTGTTTGGTGCTTTCTACTGTCTTTGTCATTAATTTATTTTTTATTGTTGTATATATGATATTTGCTCCATGTACAGCACTTTGTATACAGCGATGGTTGTTTTAAAGTGTTCTATAAATACAGTTGAGTTGAGTTGAGAGAGACACTTTCATTTTTAGCGAGCTCTCGCCATTGGAATATTTCGAACTGGAATCAGGATTATTAACTCTTTCATGCACAATGTAATTTGATAACATGATAAGCTGTCCACTTCAGTAACCGCTGTGCCTGAAAGAGTTAAAAATAATTCAGCATTTTTTTTTTTTTTTTGTAGCTACAAATATGAGATGGCACTGGACTTCTCTAATAAGTTAGGAAGATCTTTCAATTCAGAAAAGCAAGTAATCAATCAGTCATCGTAGTCATGAAATATCAATGTAAGTGCCTATGTTTGTATAAAATATTCAGACAATTGAAGGATAATTATATGTTATCATTAAAAAGAGCATTCCTATGCAAAAGCTTCTCCATGCGGGTGTCTTTTACATTTCAAAAGCAAAACAAAACAAAAAATAAAAAATTGAATGCATTGTATTCACATGTATACATAATATCACCTCCCCCCTTCCAAACACTCTTTTTAAACTAACCATAGCTGCTGTAGAGGTCTGTGTAGGGGCTGGAAGTGCAGTCTTGTGGTCGCAGGTGAATTTGAGGGTAAAAGTTGTCAGGCATGGTGGCATATCCCTCCTCACAGGAGGCCTCCTTCGGGTCGAGAGACACTTTGGCACATTCAATGACGATATCGTGGATTTCATACTTTTTCCACCTAAAGCAAAAAAAATAAAAATTAAAAATCAGGATTCCCAACCAAATATTCGACATGCCTGGAAAATGCTGCAAGACGGTGTGAGACTTACCTGGTGGGGTCAAGCTCGTGATCCTTGGTTCCTGTCACCAGTTCAGGGTGGATACGCACATGTTCAAGCATTGGCTGAGTAAAGAGGTTCGAAGCAATTTCGATCAATGACACCAAAAGAAAACTGATCACGTTCTCAAGGACAGGCAGTATGGTACGCCCTCACCTTGACCACTTCTTCAAATGTTTCCATGTTTTCCTTCATGCTGTAGTGAGAGCGCAGGTAGGACACAAAGTTGCAAGGGTACATGCCATACAGGCGGTGGAAGAGCGAATAAACGCTGGCGTGTAAGTGGATCAAGTAAACCTCGGAAACATGACCTGGATGGATTTAAAGGGGAAAAAAAACACAACACTCCTAAGCAAGAGGGCAAGCAAGACCCATGAGGTTTTGCAGCTTAAGCTTTTATCTCCCCTGATGGACTGCGGTTTCTCGAATATTGTGGGAGCAAATAACGGTGGGCGGAAGTGAACTGTTTTGCAGGAAATGGAATGCATATCTCACCCGGATTCTTGAGGTTCCAGGATGCCAAGCGGCCAAATATGTCAAAGTACTCCCACAGGTGTTGTTTTCCCGCTTGAGGAATCATTGGAAGCAGCGTGATCAACACCAGCACCCCAGTTATCAGCACCACCACATCTGTATCAGTCTGACAGGGGAATCAAATGCGGATATAACTAAGCTTTGAAACGCTATTCAAAAAATATTTTTTCTTTGCTTAATTACCCTTGTCTGGATGATGAACTAAAGTTAGTCAATAAAATTGATGAAGCGGCCAGCCCGACTTGTTCAGGGAATTACCGTTGTTGTCTCTCCTCGCCATTTGAGTCACAAAGGAATTTTTTTAAATTTTTTTTTTTTTTAATAGCAAGGTTGCATTGTGCTCAAAGCTTTGATTGATTTTCGTAAACATTTCCACTCTAGGAAATTATATTCTATTTCAGAATGTTTTAGCTCAATGTTTTTGTTTTTTTTTGTGTAGAGTAGCATCAAACATTTGTGCAGTTGTTGTTCAAAGTATTTTTTAAATCTGCAATGACTCGCACATCATCTTAGACTGTGAGAAATGTTGTCATATCGTCTCGCACATTATAGTGGTACCTTTAGGCATTTGAGCAGTGATAGCAGAAGAGGGTATCGGGCAATCTTGTGGATCCAGGACGGCTGCTTGCGGATGACGTGGCCGAGCATGGTGAGGGTGGGCAGCCGACAGGCCTGTTTGGTCATACACTCGTTCATCTTGTCCAGAAGGTGCTGCGGTGACAAGTCGGGATGTTAGCTGATCAGGCCGACACTTATGCATGGCATTTTAGTTTTCCCCATAAATCAATATACATCATGTAATTGTAATTCAAGAACCTTTTTAAAAAAATGTTTTGCATGTAAAAGCACTAAGGAGCTTCACACGTGTACCCACATAGTCAATTTTGAAAGAAGGTAATGAAAGATGGAGATCGGCGGCCAAATCAATAGATTTTTTTTTGTCATCCCACTCTCATTTGTAGTTGCATTTGAAGTAACTGCCATTTCATTCAAATGAAGCGGCGTGAATAAATATCCGACTTTTGTCACCTTGTCGTGCGGCTCTCTGACTGAGCAGAGGATATGCATGGCCTCTGATGAGTTTGTTTCTAAAAAGTAGTCCACCAGCCCGTTGAGCAGCACAGACCCTCGTTCTGCAAATATATTGACACAGCCATGACACATTTTGACACACACATACAAGCAGATCGTGTTTTTTTTTTTTTTTTTAAAAGAAGAAAAGTGATTATTATACCAGTGCTGAGTTGCTCATTAATAAGGCCTCTGATCTCTTCGAGCTGGTGGAGGTCGGAGGTCTCCAAGAGCGGGAGGAGGTCCCCCATGCTTGGCTGTTCCCTTGCCATGGTGGCAGTGCTCTTGGTGGAGGGCGGTGTCCTTCTCACACCGTGTCTGGGCCTTCCTTCCTGCCTGGAGGACTCTCTTGGGGCCACCCACCAATTCAGTCTCCAGGCACCTCTGGATCACAATCAATGATGCCAAAAAAGCTTACTATTTAGTCAAGAGAGGACTCGGGGTGAGGGAGAGTCTCACTTTCCTTCTCAAAAATGTTGATCAAAGGCAGACAAGTATTTGCTATATGATGTATGCCGGATTTCATCTGCATTTTCAGTGGCTACGGTTACATTTCTTTGGAAAATTTGTAAAAAATGGAATTCGCCCCGCCCCCAAAGATTTGATTCTGAAGCCGAAACGCACGGCCTTAAATCCATCAGATTTGACCTTTATCCACTGAAGGCACAAATTAGGCAAAAAAGTCCCCTTGGGGAAATGACAGTAGGCATGTCATTCCCCTAAACCACCGATGTCAAAGTGCCGGCCCGCGGGCCAAATCCGGCCCGCGAGAATGTTTTCAGTGGCCCCTGGGATGATTTTGATTTATTATTAGAACCGGCCCGCGGACCGCAGCAAGCCGAGAGCTCGCAGATCTTTTACACGCACCAATACTACATTTCCCACAATGCAACGGTGACGCGCCAAGCAGTCGGCCGCTTTATTTAAATATTTATTAGTCTAGCAGTCGTTCCCATAACAGTGACATTAGCTTTCAGATACCCATCAAAAATGGCAAAACGGAAGGTGGACACTGAGAACCGGGG